CCACTCTGACGGCTGCCGGGCTGAACTTTTAGTGTTGTGCGCTCTTTCAATCTCTCCCATCCCTCTGGTGAGCCGTCAAAAATTCTGATATTTGATGAGCAGTCGCTTAGGTCTGATGCTAAGTGCCTGTGGGGGCAAGGAAGGCAGTGAGGGAAGCAGCTACTTTAATTTCTTTTTCTACTGTTGATAGAGACGATCTTTCACTTCGCTGTCACTTGATTATTAGAAAAAACAGCAACTTGAACAGCCTGATCTTTGGCCTCACTGAGAAGGGGCGGAGCTATGACAACTGGGAGGGACTTTCCCCAACCTCAAGGGCAGAATGGGACAGTCCACACTCTAGCTGCCAGTTGCCGGGCAGATGTGTCAGGGGCTGTCAAAGGCTTCGTTTTTGTCTTTGTTTTTGATTTTTGGTTTTTGTACGACAGAAATTCAGACGTATGGGGGGGGTAGTATCTCTTAAATTTTAAATGTGGGCAACTGATTCAGTTGTTCAAGGCTGATCAAGACGACAATGCAAGGAAGAGCAAACACACCCTGGAGGCCTCATTTTGCCCATTTACTACCTCTTAGCAAGGGGCACTAAGCAGTCCTGGTAGAGGTCCCTCTTCCTGGGCAAGGGCCCCGGCTTCTAAACTGAAGACACTCTACCTTCATTGGGTGATTATTAGTTAGCTAAGCCATGGTTACTTTAAAAAGCAACAGCCCTTGCCCTGGCTGGGTGGCTCAGTTGGTTGGAGCGTTGTCCCGTATACCAAAAGGTGGCAGGTTCAATTCCTGGTCAGGGCACATGCCTTGGTTTGATCCCCATGTGTAGGAGGCAACTGATTGAGGTTTCTCTTTTACACTGTATTTCCCTCACTCTGTCTCCTTTTCTCTTTCTCTAAAATCAATAAACATATCCTTGGGTGAGGATTTAAAAAAAGTAACAGCTCAAGGGTGGAAACAACACAAACGTCCACAATGTATAGCCAGGAATGCGGTACTGATACCTGCTACAGCCTCAGAGAGATCACGCTAGGTGAGAAAAGCCAGACGCGGAAGACCACCTGCTGAATAATCCCACTTATATGAAATACCAGAGCAGGTAAATACAGGTACAGGAGGCAGATAAGTGGCTGCAGGAGCTGGGGGAAGGTGGGACCAAAACAAACACAGGGTCTCCTTTGGGAGGGATGAAAACATTTGAAACTAGATCGAGGGGATGGTTGTGTCCACCGCAGACTCCAACATTCACACCCAGAGTGTCCTGACGCAGGACTCCGGCTGTGCACACCTGAGCATCCCTGCCCCGTCCCGTCCACGCTGAAATGGCACTCAAAACTTTAGTTCAATGCCCACTCCATCTAATTTAGTATCAGCAAAAACAACCGGGGACACACCTTCTTGTAAAAACATTAAAGAAATTTCTCATTCCGTGAACTCTCTTCCTCAAGAAAAGCCCTAAATAATACCTGGCTAAAGGAAGGAGATCTATGCAAGGGCACTTTAGATGTACCTGAAATCACGACACATGTACGTCCTACCAATCTAAGGGAATAGTTCAGAAAAGTCATTCTTCTCCCCTCCTCTGCCCACTTCAAATATGAAAATTTTTCCCTTTGGCCTCTTTTCTCGGCTAGAGCTGTGGAAGAGTAAGCACATTCCACTATGGCCTGGATATTTCTCTTGGTCTGGAAGGGATAACGGGGCAGTGAGGACCATCGGGCAACGCTTCACTGCCGGCCTCTCACATTTTTTGTACTGAGATAGCAAATCGCAGGGAGTGACATTAGACCAAGACAGGCGAAGTTAAAGCCTCGTGGCATGACAGTCTTCTAGAGCTGAGAACAGAGCTCAGACCCAAAAAGCGATTTCGACATGGTGCACATAAAGCAGGCAGGAGCACAGACACCATCATCGCTACCGAGCTCCTCCCCCAGGCGCCACGGCCTCCTCCGACCGGACCCGAGTCCTCCCCTCCATCCTCCCCTCTCCCTCGTGTTCCCTTCAGAGACAGTCATACCGAGTTCTTCCCTGCTCTTCGCTTACACCCTGATTACCTCTGCCTCAGTGCCTCTGCTCAGGCTCTTCCCAAGGCCTGGAATTTTCTCCCTCTGAATTCCACTGATCTGAATCCTTATTGTTTTCCCTGCCACTCCTCAAAAAGCCCTTTGGAATGTTCCCAGAATGAAAACCTCTGTCCCTCCTTCCCATTCCAATACCTTTTTCTACTTCTCTTGTAACCTCAATCACATCCTTAATTTGATTTTTTCCCTGTAGTATTTATCCTTTTCTATCATTCATTGTTTTATTTCACTTAAAAGCACCTTGATGTTGAAGACCGACTATTATTATTCTTTGCATTCTACTTTCTTGGCAGACACCAGAGACGGCCATTCTCCTCTTCTCTGCTAAGGAAACTCCAAGGTCTCACTGCTAACATACGGACTCCTGGCTTCCAAGCCGATGGAGCTCACCACCGAGTTAGTTACAGGGCACCTCCCTGATGCTTCGCACAGCCCACTATTCAGCTACTACTGGAAAAGCAAATAATCAATTGGGACAATTATGTGTATAATTCTGGCTTAGAAAAGGGGAAGATCCATCACAAAAGAAACAAGGGAGAGGTATTATTATTATTAATACTGCAAAAGAAACTGAGATATCTTCAACTTTTTACCTAGTTTTTGTTTAAAAGGTTGTTTGCTCACTTACTACTGCCGACCTTCCCCTGCCTCTCTGTCGCCAGTGTACATGTGATCTCTTGCTACTCCATGAGGCTGGAGTTTTAAGAGACAGAAGACAAGGGAAGTACCAGGAAACTCGATGCGCCAAGCCAGAGATGCAAGCAAAGCACACTGCTGAGCCCAGAGCTTTTAGGAAGGGGGAGGCGACGATCCTTAGAGCAGTGCTGTGTGTCGCAGGACAAAGGGAATTTGCTGGTTTCGTAGGCTTGAGGCTGGGGAACTGAGAGCTAGAGGGAAAGAAGCTTAAAGTGGGGGAATAAGATCTAATCATTCGGGGGACAGGGGTTGGAAGGGAAAAGTTCAATCACTGTTGGTCCTGAGACAAGAGAAAAGGAAGGGAGATTTTCTGGGTTATTACAAAAAGCCTTTTGTCCACTTCAGCCTTCTCCTGGCCAAGGCACATACACCTGCCCACGGACCTTTTGCTAGCCAGATTACTTACCTTGTGCACGTGTGTGAGCACATGCTGGGTGAGGGATTGGCAAGTATTTTTTGTAAAGGGACAGAGTCAATATTTTAGGCATTGCCAGCCACACAGTTTCAGTTTCAATTATTCAAATCTGCCAGGTTACACAAAAGCAGCCATAAACAATACATCTTTACACTGTGGGCCGATAAAGCTTGATTTATGGACACTGAAACTTGAATTTCATGTCATTTCCAAGTGCCACAAAAGATTATTCTGCTTTTGATTACTTACCGCAATAATTAAGAATGTAAAAGCCTACATGTTATTTATGGGTACACCCCATACGCAGTATGAAAATGTAACAGGGAATGCTAACCCCTGCAGTTGGGGCGGAGGCCACGCCCGTGAAGGAAGGAAGCGGATGGGGCAAAGTTCACAAGGGGCTGTGCCCACCTCTCTAACGTTTTATTCTTCATGCTGGATCACGGACACGGGGGTACCTGGTGTACCATTCCCTGCACTTTTCAGTCGGTCTGAAATACTTCAATAAAACAAAGCAAAGGGATATAAAATGAGATTGCTCAGAGTCAACTTTGCAGTAATGAATATCAGTAAAAAATAAAATTAGATAAATGAACAAGCAACAATTGTCCACGAAAAACCTGTTATTTAACTTTAAATCCCCACAAAAGATTTTCCTCAGGAGCTCAAGCACCTGGCAACAATGAACCGATGCCTCTTATCCAAAGGATCTTGGTTTTACTTCTGTGTACAGCATTTTCTGTCTCCTGAAACAGCACTTTTTGGTCAAGTTAGCATGCCGGCTGCATGCACAACTCCACAAAATGGCAAAGCAGGGAGCCACGTCAGGTCCCCAGCAGTTGATTTCTGGAAATTCCTTAGTGTATTATTGCATAGCAGAGGAGTGTGACAAGGATCAAAAGATTAGAATTCATTTCAATTAACCCGTTCCGCCAATGTAGGTAGAGGAATAACCCATTGAATTCTGCCTCAATTTCCAATGAAAAACAAAGTACACATATCAATGACCCAAATCACAGAACTTTAAAACACTCTTTTAAAGAATCGAAACTTCACAAATGGTCTGTGGGGCTGAAAAACGGAAAATTATGTAACAGGGTAAGAGTATAAATTAAGCTTCTTATAAAAACCCTTTGATTAAGGGTTTCTACATTCTTTTTCTACCTAATTTCCAGCACCCTTCTGCTCTCTACTCACGGGTTGAAATTGCAAAGGAATTATATCAGAAAGTCTTTTGTCTTTCAGTCTGAAGGAAGCTCTATGCTTATAGGACTATCACCCTAATGGGCTCATCATCCTTAACTTCAGCAAAAAGTACTGATAAAGATAATGCTATATAACTAAAATAATAATTTAAAAAAGAAGTCCCCAAAGTTCCAATGCCCTAAAATAGAGAAAATAAAAGTTCACCGGGAGGACTTTGAAACCAAAACAGGTAGTGCCAACCAAGGAAGGAGGGGGACTTGACAGAGGCTGATCCTTACTTAGCGAGGCACATTGAACCTGGCACTCCTCCCATGGGGAGGTGGGGTCTGTGTCCCCCGACTTGAATGGGGTAAGGTCTGTGCCTGCTTTGACCTGAAAGTGACACTGTTTCAGCTTCCGAGCCCAGGCCTGAAGAGACCGGCAGCTTTGACGTTGGAATGCCTCGCTGACATGTCAGAAGTCCAACTACCCTGCAAAAGAGAACTTACCGAGAGGCTTGAGGTGGATCCTGCTAAGGATTCTTGGGCCAGATTAGCCACAAGTTTGAATATCACCAACTGACCCCTGTTGATGCAGGTATCAGAGAAGCAGCTCCCAGATGAGACCTGCCCAAATCATGAGACATGCCCAAATCATGATAGGTACTCACTGGTGGGTGTTTGACTTACTAAGATATGGGGTAATTTACTGTACACTTAGAATCACTGGCACATATGCATCATTTTAGAACCTACCAACGTAATCCCTCACTTTAAACTTCTAGAGGGGGCCCTGGCTGGTGTGGCTCAGTGGATCAAGTGCTGGCCTTCCAACCACAGGGTCACTGGTTCAATTCCCAGTCAGGGCACATGTCTGGGTTGCAGGCTAGATCCCCAGTAGGGATGTGTAGAAGGCAACTACACATGGATGTTTCTCTCCCTCTCTTTCTCTCTCTCTTCCCCTCTGTCTATATGTAAATAAATAAACCTTTAAAAATGTTATTTCTTTGAAAATAAATTAAGTACATTTCTAGAGGGGTGCCTTTTGCCACAAAGGAGGGCTCTGAAGTGGTATTACTCTTCCGAACAAAACGAGGCCTCGCAGATGAAAGTCGTGAGACAGAAGGTTCCTGCTCAGTGTACGGAACAGCCTCCCCGTAGGGCTTTCCACTCCCGGCCCGAAGTGTCTCAGCGAAATAATGCGCCCGTCCGTCACTGCGGGAATCTAAGGCCAAGGTGGAAGCAGCGAAGTAGCACAGCCGTGCAACCCCCTCCCGTGGGCTCAGAAAGGCCTGCGTCAGGATCTGCTTTGCTGTCACTACCTGAGTGTTCTAGGGCAGACTGCTTAACCTCTCTAAGGCTACGTGCTCATCTGTAAAACGAGGATAGTTTACAAGGGAAACAGTGCACATGTTTATCAGATCACGATTATCACAATGCTGCAGAGACATTTCTGCACTAGATGGAATGTCGAACCAGAAAGTCCCCGTGGCCCGGTCCAACTGAAAACATGTAGATGAGTCCATGACCATTCCTGGAAAGTCTGTGTCGGCGGAGCGCTAACTGAAAGCGGCCAAAATGGTTTTCAATTAAACTCAACCAAGATCACAGCACTCTCTGTGGGTTAACTAGGGGTCACTTAATTTGTACTGAATACCCCTAATTATTTAAGCAGAAAAGCAGCCAGAAAAACAACAAATTTAATTTACATGCCAAAAAGCTTTGTTTACTGGCTTGACAGAATTCGTTACAAAACTTCCATTATGGATTTATCATGTGGATGGTTCACCACTCTTTCCATATTTATCGCTAGCCTCCTGCTCCTCTCTGTCTGTGGAGACTTATAGTCCGAGTACAACTGCCAACCTCCTGGGTGGCCCAGCAATGGGACAGGACTTAGAGAAAATGGTTTCAGTTCAGTCACTTGCCCTGTGACTTAGGGCAATTTAAGAAATCTCTTTGGGCCTCAGTTTCCTCGTCTGGAAAATGGATGTATTAATGAACCCTTACAGAGATGTTCTAAAGATGAAACAGAGTAATGACCCTATGTAGTTTAAATGTTGTAAAACAAAATGCAATTGTTAGTAGCTATTACGTTCACAACTAAAACATGGCAGATAAATATCCCAAGACAATTAGGCCAAATGAAAACTGAGAAAAGCATCTCAGGATCTGAGATTTATCATTAGTTTCTCTGTGCATTTTTCACTAAGTCTATTATTTATTCCGCTCTGGAAAAGGCTTCTTAATTTGAAAAAAAATGTTGCTAATCCGTTTTATTTCTTCCTAATTTTTTAAATGTAAACTTTACAGTGAAGTATAGCACTGTACTGAAACACACAAGTTAAGATAGTATCTCTCACTCAATTTTCACAATCTGAATACGTATCCGACCGGTACCCCAGAAGTCCCCCTCATGGTCCCCTCCTCACCACCTGCCCAAGGCGGACAGCTCTCCTGACTCCTCACACTGCAGACGCACTTGTCTGGTTCTGAACGCCATGCAAGTGGGGATCTTACAACAGATGCTCCATGGAGTCTGGCTTCTTCCACTGAAGACTCTGTTTCAGAACTCTGAGCACATTTTTACTTGCAGTAATATTTGTTTGTTCCCATCATATAGACAGTAGTATCCCACTGGAGGGATATACCACAGGTTGGTTTGTTTCAGTTCATTCTACTACTGATAAATGCCTCTTCCCGTTTGGTAGTATTTCCAGTGATGCTGCAAAAAGCATTATTAAACTTGCCTTTTGGTGAACATATGTACATATTTCAGTTGGGTACATACTTGGGATTTGAGTCGCTGCCTCGAAAGTTGTGTATATCTTCCCTTTTAGTGGAACCTTTTTTTTTTTGGCTCCAGACAATTTAATGAGCACTTATTTCACATCTGTCTCCCTGCCTCCAGGATCTCACTCCTTTTTTGACTTCCACACAACTGACCACACTTAACTGTGTTAAAGACAGCATGGATAATGTTGTTTGCTTAAAATCATTCTATGATTTGGGAATGCTGCATTCAAGACCATATGAAAGGTCTTTACCTTTTGCTTCTAACCAATCGTTCGTTCATTCAACAAATAGGGTTCCCTGTCTTGAGGTGCCTCACAGCTGGAGACGGGTGCAGGGTAAACAAGGCAACATCTGAGAAGACATCTCAGAGCCACGTCCTGGAGGAACCCACAGGACATGAGAAGACTTCAGGAGTCGCGATTTGAGCTGGTTCTAAGCACAGAGACAAGAGGAGGTAGAACCACCCAAGGAACAATATACTACAATGAAAACGCGTGAGTCCAGGCGGGAGGGAAGCACACTGGACGTGACAGTCACATGAGATACCAAGTGTGGGACCTCGACTTTGTGTGTGAACCTCACCCGGCAAGCCCCGATTCCCTAGTGCTAGGCAGGAGGCACACCTCGCTGGCGTGCAAGCTGCTTCCAGGTGGTGGTGAGTAAAGGCAGTTCACTTTAGTGGTGTGTTTTATTTAAATGCACATTAGAAAAATACTTTCCATGTGAGTTAGTGAGATAAAGTTCCACTTTAAATAAGTGTACTTAAGCAAAACCAAAGTGAGCCGATATAAAGAAAAGTATTCCTTAAACAACGATGTAGGTGAAATACAGGTATGGGGAAAATTGTAAAAGTAGCAGAAAGTGGTTGGTTTTGAGAAATTAAGTGGAAAGATGGAGAACTAGGGGCAGTTTTTCAGTAGGAAATGACATGGTCAGATGTGTCTTTTACAAAGATAACTGCTGAACAGAGGATACCGGTCTCTGGCCTCACAGCTCACTTTCTCCTCCACCTGCTACCTTGCCCTTTTACACCATGTAGGCAGTCCCACAGCCCAGCCCGGGTTGCCGTGCCCCATGACCCTGCCTCTGCGGCAGAGCCGGGCAGACGAGAGGGAAGTCCCAGAACCCGACTGTTTGGGTCTGGCCCCCAAGCTCTCCACTTACTGGCTGGTGACCTGGGGAAACCGCTTTGCCTCTTTGGGCCTCATACACCACCTCACAGGGTTGTAATGAGAACTCGGAACGGTAGTGTTTGTAAAGGGCTCGCAATGTGCCCGGCTCTCAGTAAGGACTGTGCTACACGCCACATGCAGGCATTAAACCGATGGGTTTCGCCTGCCCTACAATGCACCCTCCCTTCCGTGACTGGCAAAACCTTCTATTTATTCAAAATCCAGGTGAAACCACATGCCCGTCAACTGAATGTATAAACAAAATGTGGCACATCTATACAATGGAATATTATTCAGCCATAAAAAGGAATAAAGTGCTGACACACATGCTACAACATGAACCTTGAAAACACACGCTACATAAAACAAGCCATACATGAATGATCACATGGTGGATCACTGTTTACATGGATGTCCAGAACAAGCAAATACATGGAGACTGAAGTACTAATCTAGAAAGTAGACTAGTGGCCGGCAGCGGGGAGGGGAAAGGGGAATGGGAAGTGCTCAACAGTCATGGGTTTCTTTCTGTGGTGATGAAAATGTTCTGGAATTGGGCCGTGGTGATGGTTTCACAACCTAGTGAATATACGAAAAAACACCAAGTGTTTTACACTTTTTTTTACACTTTAAAGGATGGAATGTATGGTATGTGAATTATCTACCCTCCAAACAACAACAACAAAATCCAGCTACCTGACTGCCCCTCCTTTGGGCTCCCTGTGGAGATCACGTCTGTGGACACGAGTCAGCTGTCCCCACTACAGTGAGAGCCACTTGAGGGCAGGAGCACGTCCTGTCCATCTATCTATCCACACCTCTCCAGAACTTAGGGGAATGCCCAGGGCCCATTCATGGCTCTAGTCAAAGTTCGTCATTGCCATTTGAACAGAAGACTTGGAGTGTAATTTACTTCCTTCAGTGTGAAGGTTCTGAAGTACCAACTCCACAGCAGAGGTCTCATATGCCCTGGTGTGGGGCGGGGGGAGGCGGGGAGGGAGGGCTACCTCTGTTGAGTATTAAGACGGTGCACAAAGCATACAAAGCCCTTTCTTTTGTCCCTGAGACTGAAACAAGCTTAGACCAAGAATTCTTTTTCTTTCCTGTCAGCGAGGCTTGTTTGTGCCGGGCAAACATGCAAACCCTGCGTTTAGATACTGTTGGAGCAGTAACCGTCTCTGCTCTGATAGCCACTGTCCTGGCAGAGCCACTGTCAGTAACGCAGGCGCGGTTCGTAGGTCCTGGCACGGAAGCTGCGCCCTGGGAGAGCACGTGGTACGAAGTAAATATGAGCAGCAGAAACCCCACAAACGGGGCGCCACGGAGGGAAGCCGAGTGTCCTACCTGCACATTCCTCAGAGTCAGCCTGCTAGTCCCACTGCCATCACTCATTTGGAAAAACAAGATGACACAAAACATGTGACATTTGAATACATTTCCATGTCTCTCTTTTTTATCCACCTTTGCTGGGGAGGCAGGTGAGGAACGGGAGACCAGAGCTTCCATTTAGAACACCTGGGCTAACCCTGTGGGCTCCATGAGAACCAGGCAGTTTCCTCGTGTCCACCTCCATGAAATGGGCCCGTGAAAGTCACAGGAATGCCGTGAGGGTGAAGCGAGGCAAGAGACAGCAGCACAGCACTGCAGTATGGTCTGAGGAAAACCAGGTGGAAAAAATGCAAATGCACTCAAAAGAGCTTAAAAGAAAGGTACGGAAAAGCTAATGAAGCTAGTTCTTTAAGAAGTAAGAACCTACGTGATTTTTCCTCCTGTTCGTGTTTCCATTTTTCTATACTTTCTATATAAAGTACAAGCTTTGCCCATGAGCTCAGACCCTTGTGATCTGGTTTCTGCCCACCTCTTCAGCCACATCTCTCTCTGGGTTCAGGAATTCCCCACTAAATGGCAACCGCTTGTTTTTCGCAGCTCTGAGTTTTTTCCAAGATTCACTGAAGAATCACCTCTTATGCTGGAGCTAAGTTGCAGGGGTCCAAACCCTGGCTCTGCCCTTACTAGCTTCGTTGTCACCTTAGGCACGTTACTGAACCCATCTGTACCTCTGTCTTCTGGTCTGTCAAATTAGAATCACTGTGTGTGTCTCATGGTATTTTTATGCAGATTAAATGAGTTAATCTTTGTAAAGTGCTCAGAACAGCACCAGGCACCTAACACATGGTATGTAAATGTTAAGTATATTAAAGGTCTCGTCTCTACGAAGAGTTCCCTAAACACCTTCCTCTTCCCCTGCTACACCTCCTCAGGCTGAACCAATGCTACTGATTCCTAGCGGCACCTAGAATACTTTTATAGCATTCATTTTTAATGTGTCCTAGGCCATAAACTCCCTCAAAACATATCTTTTCTTACTTTTAGAAGGCAAATGTAGGCACAAAATAAATAGTTTTCAGTGAATCCATGGTGAATAAATAAATATTTCCATTAAGAAAGCACAAAAGAGCATTTCTTTTTCCTTCTTCTTCTTCTTTTGCTGCCATGTCTCACCTTGCCTGTGAGCGCCTTTAAGGACCCAGAATATTTATTATCCATTTTTTATCTCCAAAGCCGAATACAGAATACAGAATCTGTATTCACTCAATGAAAAAATGGATAGCATTATTACTCCCAAAAAGGCTAACAAAACACACGGAATCTTCAAGAAGAGTTTTGGTTCAAAGCATTGTTCAAGACTTGGGTAAACCCATAAATTAATTTGGACAATTTATCTATCAGTCAAAGATATTATGGATGAGATATATATATATCCAATATCATGAGCGACAACAGATATATATAATAATATAAAGTAGTAACATAATATTAAAATAATATAAAATGATATAAATATATAAGATAATTGAGCACTGGGTGTTGGCTTCCCACATCTGAGGTCTGCCTTGTCAGAACAGAAAGACACAGACTGAGAGGGAGTGGGATTCAAATGTCAAAAGCGTGAAGGGTGAAGAGATGCAGACACAGTTAAATCAGCTTCCTATAAAGCCTGAGGGTAGCTTTAGAGGGAAGAAAAGTAAGTACCTGAACGAGAGGCAGTCAACTGTAGAACCAGTTGCTTCTGTAGGTGGAAAGCAGTAAAATGGAGGTCAGTTCCCCAGAATTTGAGCGAATTCACTGATCGTGGATCCATGGTGTGTGGGTGTGAAGAGATAACGAAATCTAGGGCCTCTGTCCGACTGAGCAATGCAGGAACTAGAAATTCCACAATTCATACTGTCCAAAACACAGCAGTCCACCCTTATCCGTAGTCCCACTTTCCAAGGTTTCAGGTACCCACAGTCAAGCACAGTCCAAAAACATTAAATGGAGAATCCAGGGGGGAAAAACATTAGTAAGTTTTCAATTATGCCCTGTTCTAAGTAGCATAATGATATCACACTCGGTCCTGCTCTGTCCCTCCCTGGACGGGAATCACCCTTCTGTCTGGCATACTGATCAAATGTCAAGGTATCGCTGTGCTTGTATTTGAGCAACATTTATTTTATTTAATAATGCCCCCAAAGAGTAGCGATGCTGGCAATTTAGATATGGGGGGAAAAAGCCATAAAGTGCTCCCTTTCAGTAAAAAGGTGTGTATATACAGGGGGAAAAAACACTGTATTTTGAGTTTGATATTACCCGAGGTTTCAGGCATCCACTGGGGGGTCTTAGAATGTATCCGCCGAGGGTCAGGGGGGACACTAAAACCCATGAAACCTGAAAGAGGCAGAAAGAAATGCCCTAATCTACCCGAGCATTTGTAGAGCTTCTGTGCCCTTAAATGACCTGATCTGGCACAACACAAAAGGTTTTCTTCCGTTGTAACCGATTTCTTATGGAAATGAGGTAAACTCAGCTTCCCTCAGCCAGGAACAACTGCAAACCTAAACACATTTATCTTTCTTCCCCAAATCTACAGGGGGACATCAAATATTGACCAAAATGTTTCCTTAGAAGAAAATGTCAGCCTAGTCCATGGAGTTCATTTTTAGACCTCCTTTAAAATGTGTTGTTTTTCCAAAGCTGCTGACAATGTGTCTATATACCAGCAAGTATTCATTTACTATAGCTCTTCTCTCTCCACGAAGTTTAAAACATGGCACAGAGGTTTTTCATTTTACATAAACTTAAGATACAGATTTGATAAAGCATAGACTAACTTCATTCTGCTTCACCTATAGCTTTAAACTGAAGTCATCTTTAGGTCTGAAAAGATTTTATTAACAAACTATCTCAAAGCCCAACTCTGCTAGAAATTTATAAATACTGAGAACCTCTTTTTTAAAAAAGGTCTTAAATTCTGGAAATGTTTTAGCGACATCAGTCGGACCTAATGAAAAATTCTGAGACTCTAAGAAGGAAGGAGTGAAGTGATTGACATTAATCACTGGATCTGGGGCAAAGGGAAAAACAAAGTATTAATTGAGGATTTTTCCGGAACCCTAAGAACAGAGTTCAATTTAACTTTGTCACTGACCCCCTTCCCCAAATTCCTCCTCAGACTGAATCTTCATAAAGAGATGAGTGTAAAAACTAAGTTTGAACACTCTTTGTTCCAGTCGTGTAAGGCTGCAGTGCACGTGAAAAGCAAAGGCTCAACCAGAAGGGGGTTTCCCAGGTGGGCACTTAGGACGTGTGGGGTGAAAACCCTTTGTCATGAGGGCTGTCACAGGTGCGCTGCAGGATGTTCCGCAGGATCCCTGGCCTCTGCCCACACGTGCAGGTCGCACCCTACCCTGCCCCTCCCAGAACGTGACAACCAATAACATCTGCAGATGCTGTCAAATGTCCCTTGGAAGACAATCCCCCGTCATGGAGGACCACCAAACTAGAACCATCCCATATGCCAGCTATATTCACTATCTTGAATGGGATTCAGGAATCAAGAATCAAACTTACAGTAACTTTGTAAGATTTGGACAAGCCATTTAACCTGGCAGTTTCCTTCCTGTGACGTAACGCCACGGTGACTGCCCTCTGATCCCATACCCCTGGTTTACTCCCAGCACCCTCATCTTCCCTATGGACATCTTATGAAGAGCAATCTTTCACAGATTTGAACCATGAAAGTAAGAACACTCAGAATTAGAAAAACCCGAGGCTGTGCAAAACACGTCTAGTCCTACATCTCCACTCCCTTCCATCCAATGTGAAGGTGTCGAGGAAACTGAAGGACACTAAGGTGAAGTGCCATGTCCAAGGTTGCTTGTCTGCTGAGCCAGCGGCAGATCTCGGTGAGAAGACTGGGTCCTGGTCCAGGGATTTTCCCAGGCCTCATTCAGAAGCCTTACAATAGTCTGGAATCCTGACCACAGTTTACCCTGGTCAAGCTGCTTGACCTGTCGATGCCTTATTTCCATATCTGCCAAATGAGAATAGTAGTAGGACCTACTTCTTGACGGTGGTTTTATTGATGAAATAAGGTCATGCATGGCATAGAGTAAGTGCTTACTCAATGTCAGCCATTATCATTAGTCATTATTATTTTGTTTTTAACTTTTAAGTTCAAATGTTTAGTTACAGGCAGCCACTCAGCAAGCATTCAGACACAAGCCTCCTCCTTTCTCCATGAGTTTATTGCAGGTACACATTTATAACAGCTCCTCACCAAAGCATCTTTCATATTAAAAACGGAATTTGAATAAATGTGAAACCTTCAAGCACCAGTATCCTTTTGGAAATTGACCAATCTAATGCAAAAGCAAAAACTACACCATTTGGCTCAATGAAGCAATAATAAATTTGATTACACCTCAAAGCAATTCACGCTGGCACACCAGAATGAAAAGCTACAGCTGTTGACCATTTCTATGCCAGAGATTGCAAAACAATACCCACCCTAACCTCTCCTCCTACACCCACCCGCCCCTACAGGTTTTTGACTTTTTAAACCATTACTTTTTTAAACTGAAGTTTTCCATTGCTTAAAACAAAACTATAGCCTTTTTATTCCTACAAACTTGGAAATACAGGCTCAATCTTTTTTTTTTTTTGGAATAACTGCTGGCAGAGGGAAAGAACAGTGGTGACCCCATAAACAGATAAAGCTCCCGCTCCTTCAACTCTGACGGCCTTGCACTTCATTCACCATCATGGCCCCAGTGCTTGCTCTAGAAGCTCAAAAATGGAGTTTGCAGGAGAAATCAATCCCGAGGTCGGGATTCACAACAAAGTTCAAAATGAATCCACGCTGGCTTCCAGTTTCCACTCATGTAACATGCAGAAGTGCAGCAGACCCTTTGAAAATTGGGTTAAGGAAAAGAAAATATACATTTGTATATTCTAAATGGGCCCGTTTTCACTGTCAATATTTACAGTATGAATCGGCATGACTCTGAGTGATTATAACTCAAGGAAACCCACAGTTTCATCCTGTAATATTTTTCTTTTACCTTTTGTAATGTGGGCAGTATTTGTTCGTGCGTGATTTACACTTAGTTTTTAATATCAAATTTCTTTAATATATATTAAATATGTATTCTATATGAAATATGTTGAACATAATATGTGATTATAAAACACATTTTGTAATTATATATTTATATGAATACATAAATTAATGTTAAATATATAAGTATCAAATACATATTTAATGTTTCAATATTATATAGAGGATTAATCTGAATTAGAAGATGCTCGGCCCTGGCTGAGTTGGTTGGAGCATCATCCTTTGCATCAAAAAGCTGTGGGTTCCGTTCCTGATCAGGGCATGTGTCTAGGTTGCAGGTTTGATCGCTGGTTAGGGCGTGTATGGGAGGCAATCTGCTGATGTTTGTTTCTCTCTCTCTCTCTCTCTCTCTCTCACCCTTCCTCTCTCTCTAAAAAAATCAATAAAAACATTAAAAAAAAAGATGCCTGGTGGCTGAAACTACACTTAAAAGATTTTTTACGGGGGGAAATGGGGACGGAAAGAGACTTGACATTGGGCGATGGGCGCACAATGCAGTGTGCGGATGATGTTCTGCTGAGTTGTCTACTTGAAAGCTGCGTGGCTGTTAACCAATGTCACCCCAATAAACTCAATAAAAGTAAATAAATAAATATATTTAAATGTTTGATTACCCTAGCTCATCCCCTATCATAGTTTTCTATACGGAGTTGATCAACTAGTAGTATTAAAATATTATTTTGTCATTTGAGATCATTATATAAATAAAGGTCACATACCATAGCTGTAAATCTGGACCGTGTGAGACGGAAATACTGAATCACAAAACAGCTGCCAGAAGAGGTACCTCTTGTTCTCCACAGAGGTGTTGGATACAAAAAAGAAACTCGCAACATCAACTTGGGATGTTTACCAGGAGTCTCAGTAAACACACCCAAACTGAACTCCTGATTCGCTAGGCCCTCCTCAAACCTATTCTCCGTCAGTCTCCCCTGCTGCACCCAGTCACTCAAGTCAGTATTCGTATCTCTCCCTCACCCCTACATCCAGGTTATCATCAGATCTTGCTGTTGCTGCCAGCCATTGATGAAGCTCCAGCAGGGCTGCACTGAGGCTGTAAAAAGGCAGGTGGATACAGAGAAGAAATTGCATCAAACATCAGATTTGACCAGCTTCTTTGCACCTCTACTGCCACCCTCAGAAGGAACTCAAATATTCACGCTTTGTCTGCTCTGACAGCTGACAGCCACCCTCGGGTCCAACACTCAACCAGTAGTCAATTACTTTTTGACAAGTAAATCCTCTTCAATGGCTTTCCAATGGGCTTGGAGTAACAACACACAAACTTTTTTCCATGGTCTTGAAGGGCCTACATATGGGTCTCAGCAACCCTATAACCCATAATCCTATAACTCAGTAACCCTATAACCCATAACCCTATCTCATGCTCATCTGCTCCTCCCTCCTGGCACTTACGTCCCTCAACATGCCAAGCTTTTTCCACCCTTAGGAGCTTTACAAATGCTACTCCATCTGGCAAAAATCTTTCTATACATCAGCATCAGCTCCCTGGAGGAGTTTTCTGGGACCATTCCAGTTAAAAGTCCCACCTACTATCGTCTGGTATCTGTTGGTTCCTTCAGAGTACTGAATCCCATCTCTGTCCCCAAAGAAAGCCCCATGAGAAGAAAGAACTTCTATTCTGCACTCTATGCCTAGTACCTAGTGTTTAGCACATAGCAGTTGCTCAGTAAGTAATAGTTGAGTCTATGTCTACATTAGAAAAGTAGGTCCTTTCAATACCTAGTTTAATTACTAATTATCTTTTTATTCAGATCCAGCCATTGTCAATATAGCGAGAATGGTTTGCATGACATCGATGTAGTCTGGCAGCCAAGGAGAGTGGACTGGAATGTGCATGTGTGAACAAGGATGACTTCACTGTACCTAGTCAGTGGGGGAGGTAGACACTGTTGGGTAAGTGTGTGTACTGTGTGGCCATCACATTCAAAATGACTGAGTGGATAGAGCAACAAATCTGTATCAGATTTTGCATTAAGCTTGAACATTCCTCTTTGGAAATTATTCAGATTCGGAAGGCTGCAGCTATGGGCAACTGGTAATAGGCAGCTTCATCATGACAATGCACCCGTTCATGCATCATGTCTCATGCAGAGTTGGTGAAACATCAAATTATCCAAGTGACTCAGCCCCCTAAAGCTCAGATTTGGCACCCTGTGACTTCTTGCTCTTCCCCAAACTAAAATAACCTTTGAAAGGGAAGAGATTTCAGACTCTCCGTAAAATTCAGGAAAATACATAAATTAATGTATTATCTTGTAATGCAAATTAATGACAGGACAGCTATGGAGACTGGAAGAACTGTGTGAGGTCCCAAGATGCCTACTTTTAAGGGGACTGAGATGTCATTGTCCTATATATGATGTTTCTTGTATCTTCTTCAATAAACATCTCTATTTTTCACATGACAAGGCTGGATACCTTATGGACAGACCTTGTATATCCCCACCCAAGGATATTTTTTCATTGCTTTTAGAGAGAGAGGAAGAGAGAAACATCGACTGGTTGCCTTCCATAAGCACTCCTGCTGGGGATCAAACCCACAAACTAGGCATGTGCCCTGACCCGAATTCAAACCCACGACCTTTCAGTTATGGGACAACAGTCCAACTAAATGAGCCACACTGTCCAGGGCTTGTTTTATAGAAAGAGAGATTTTATTTATTTATTTTTAGACAGAGGGGAAGGAAGGGAGAAAAGGAGAGAAACAGCTATGTGTGAGGGAAATACTTGGTTGCTTCTCTTAATGCCCCCAACCAGGGACCTGGCCTGCAACCCAGGCATGTGCCCTGACCAGCAATTGAACTGGTGACTTTTCAGTTTGTGGAACAGTGTCCAACCCACAGAACTACAACAGTTAGGGTTTCTTCTATATTTTGGTAATTTTTTTCTAACTTATAATAATTATTGTTCCTTCTACATAGTATAAAGACAGGTCTAATTTAACATTTATATGCTACTCATCTTAATTTCCCATTCAGCCCTATGATAAGTAATGAAAGAAAGTGATTTGCAGAAAGTAATATAAATATTAGCTGTTTATTAGGGACAGGATTTAGGTTTGTTTTTTTAAAAATTCCTCAGCGAACTGTCCAGTTAAGTATCAATGGTGATAATAGTTTCCAAATCAATTTAGAAGTGAGAAAATATCCAAGAATTCTAAATCAGCCACAAGCCACAATCAACAAGTCCGAAATAACAATAACCAGGATCTTCATGCACTTGCAGCAGAATTTATATACTAATACTTGTTTTTGACTGCAAAGAACCTCCCTAGAGTATGCACTGACCTTCATGACTGGCTATAAGGTACCCATGCCTAGTTGTCATAGGATTTTATCTACCATTGGGGAAACTCTTTCCAAAGCCAAGTCATGAATCCTTAATAAGGCAGGTGGATGCAGATAAGGAGCTGTACCTCCAAAGATCAAGAAATGCAATTTTGCCAAACCAAAGTCATTGTGCAAAGGGAGAAAATGTGGCCAGGGCTGGCAAACACCGACAGGTCAGAGAGTGATTTTGCCACCCAGTAAAAGGCAAGACCGAGGTTTTGTGTAAAGGTCTGGGGAAATACCAAAGACTCCGATGATGACACTAGCACTCTTTTTCATGCCGGGTCAAGTTAAACTACCTGACTGAGCTCTGCAATCTGGGAAAATCTACATGAAATCCTATAGCAGCAACTGACATTTGGCAAAAACACCAAAGTCAAAAGAGATAGTTAAAAAAAACACCTTGCCTTGACAATTAACTTTCAGAACAATCATTAATTAAGTGACAATAGAAAAAGTGATAAACAGTATACTAACATGAGTTTCGTATAATTGTCTGTAGGGCATGCAATCCACATGACTGGCCCAAAACAGAGGGCTGGAAGATTTGGAAATCACAAAAACATTGCCAAAGACCAGGCTTTGATTTGGCAAGAGAAGTGCCGAAACGATTGCGCCATCCGGGCACAGAGACCTCCCTTGCTCATTACGTAGTCACTGGCCGTCATCAAGGGCTCCAGTGGCCCAGAAACCCAAACCAGGGGAAACATGGCAGCTTAGCAGGAGAGGTGTGGGAGGAAGTCCATGCTTATTCAGAAAGGTGTGTTTGTGGTCACAGTTTGAGTAGAACACACAGGTTATACCTGTGTGTTCTGCATACCTGTGCTGTGTGAAAGCCTGTGACTTATTCATTCATTCTAAAAATACTGAGTGCCTACTCCATGGCAGACTGCACTAAAATACATCAATAAATGAAGCAAAGGCTCTAGTGGGGAAGAGACAATGAGCCATACAATCACCTAGTATGCTAGAAACTAGTAAGTATATTTATTTTTAAAGATTTTACTTATTTATTTTTAGAGAGGGGAAGGGGGTTGAAAGAGAGGACAGAAATATCTCTGTGAGAGAGAAACCTCAGTCGGTTGCCTCCCACAAGCGTCCCGACCTGCAACCAAGGCTCTGACCAGGAATTGAACCTGTGACTCCTCACTCTGCAGGATGACATCCAACCAACTGAGCCATACTAGTCAGAGCTAATAAGTACATTTTAAAATAGAGCCTGGTAGAGAAACAGAGAGTACCCCCAGGAAGAAGGAATTACTGTTTAGATGGGAGAAGGAGAGCAAAGACCTGAAGGAGGCAAGTGAGCCATGCAGGTATTTGGAGAAGCTGGTTCAGGGAGAGGAAGCAGCCAGTGCAAAGGCCCTGAGGCATGAATCTATCTAGAGCAGAGTGAATAAAAGAGTGAGTGACAATAAGAGTTGAGATTAAAGAGGCAACTGGACTAGAAATACAGTGAGTTGCCTCACTGGCTTTTGAGTGAGATGGAGAAACATGCAGTTTTCAGCAGAGGACCGACATGGTCTGACTTCTGTTTTAAAAGAGTTGCTCTGCATCCTGTGTCAGGAACAGAATATACAGGTGAGGGCAAGGATGGAAGCAGGGAAAAACGACAAGCAGGTTCTGCAGTTCCACCGCCGAGTTCATTCACTAACTACAGCTAATTGGAACAGGGCAAGACCTTTCACACACTGCTAGGACGTGTGAGAACACGGGTGTTAGCGTTTAATTTCAGGATCTGTGTGCTTCCCACAGTCCCCACGGCGGGACTGACTCCCGGGCTCCACAGTGGGAACCGTACCGGAAGAACCCTGCAAGGTCCCTGCCTTGCCAGGTCTGGTCTCAGTATTCCAGTGACCGTGACTATGGAGCAACCACAGTTGCAAGGCATGAATTCCATTTTAAATTTAGATATTAAAAAAGATCAAACTCACAGAAATAGACCATAGATTGGCGGTTGCCAGGGAATAGCAGGGAGTGGGGGCCGGATATAGGTGATTGTGATCACAGGGTGCAAACTCCTGGTTCTAAGAATGAGTAATTCTGGGGACCTAATGTAGAGCACAGTGACTACAGTTAATAATACTCTATTGTATACTTAAAAGTTGCTAAGCAAGCCCCAACCAGTTGGTTGGGCGTCACCCCGCAGAGCCAAAGGTCAGCAGTTCGATTCCTGGTCAGGGCACAGACCTGGGCTGCCGGTGTCGTTCCCAGCCAGGGTGCGTGCGTGAGGCAACCAATCTATGTTTCTTTCCCTCTCTCTCTCTCCGTTCCTTACCCCCTCCCTAAAAATAAAAATAAAATCTTTTAAACATATTATTTTTTTAAAAAAGATGCTAAATGAGTAGATTTTAAATGTTTCAACATACACAAAAGTAACTACATGAGGTGAGGGATGTATTAACTAAATTTACTGAGATAGTTATTTTTCATTATATATGTCTATCAAATGATCACACTGTACACCTTATTTTTATAGTGTTATAGGCCAACTATATCTCATTGAAGCTGGATGAAAAGTTAGGGGTGGGAGAGAAAGGCACAAATGTCACTCATCAGTACCATTGGAGCTGGTGGTTTATTCACTGGCAAATTTACATATTCTCTGAGGCGGATCCGGGAACCCACAATGTAGGGCAAAGGGCACAGAAGGTTCCTGGGCCAGGCGATCGGTCACACCAGGTGGGAAGAGCTGACTTGT